GTGACTCTCTTACTGCAGAACACACAAGTATTTTGGCTTTATCAGCATCTTTTTCCCTACCAATGCCTTAAGTACTTTTTGGATGAAGACCATTTTCCCGAGTTATCTTAATTCCACTCACATTCTTCTTGTACTAAATAAGAGTTCAGGGTTTTGGATTCTGAGTTGTTTCTACAGTGTCCTTATTGACTGGGCTCCACAAAATATCTTGCAGAAATATTCTTACAGGACATAAATTATTTTAATATGCCTTCTGGCGTAAAAACAATAGCATTATTATTTTCTTGACACAGTCTCAAACTGACAGGGAAAAAAATACACTTAATGGCACATTGATTATACATGTAGGATTTCTGGAATGGGATTATATGGCAGAGATTCAACTGGGACTGCAATCACCAAAATATTCAATTTTATGAATCATCAATAAATCCCAGAAATACACTACTCACCAGATTGTGCTTAATGAGCTCCTTGCCAAACTCAAAAGATGATGAGGCACTGTCTGTCAAATTCTTGAGCTCTGCCTGGAATTACATACATTCCAAAATTTTAACATGAAAACAAAAAAGCACATGAGCATAAACAGAGCTTCATATGAGCTCCGAAGCTGCTAGAAAGACATCTGCAGTGGTGCTGGGTCACTGGAAGATTTCTGCCTTCCCACTTCTATGTGATGGATTTTAGCAGTTGGATAATACATACAGACACAAGATCAAAAGTGGGCTGGGAAAACTAAGACCACTGGGCACACATGTGGACAGATGGCTTAATATCAGGGAAACTGAAATAGGTGACATTCCTAAGAGAAGGACACAATGACAAGATAAAGGCCATTATCAACATTACTGATTAAGACAGATAATAAGGAAAAGAAACCTGTACAGAATCTTTAACTAAAACAAAGTGAACTGAAGGGCTGTCCAATAGATACCTCAGCAGCCTTCCCATTGTAAAGTCGGAAATGGTTACAAGCCTTAAGGTTAAGAGCAATGGTGCTGTCAGGAACTTGCTGAAGATAAACAGCTAGCACTTCCTGTGATACATCATAGTAATCCAGTTTGTAATAGCATAGGGCCACATATACATTCAGAGCCAGGTATTCCCTGCAGGAAAGAGGATTAAAGAGAACATTTAAATCCCACCAGGTAGTTATACTACAGAACATTAAAGTCAGTGATAAAGCTGTCACATGTCTATACCTCTTTTACAAGCACATGAAGACTGGCATTTCTGAGAAATCCTTAAGAGCTTTTAAAGCTCTAGTTTGTTAGCTAAGATTGCACAGATCCAGATCTGCTTTTTTTTTTTTTTCTCAGTGGCAGCTACTGCAACTTTAAAGAATTACCTACAAAATTTTGGTTTGCAAATCCAGGAAATGGTGGCAACTTCACACTGAGGAAGTGCACAGAACATCAGCACTGTATTTGGCCTGGCAGAATAAGATTTTCTATGCAATATGTGCAAAGACATTTAATATGTACATAAAACTTTGAAAATATTTTAATGGATCTTATTATCTTATACCAAGTATCATTATTGCAAAAAATCCTTGCCATTACAAGCTATCAAGCCAGAAAAACTAGACACAGAAATAAGACAGGCATTTGTGGAAACATAAGTAAAAGGATAATTGTTATGAAGGGTAAAAATCTCTTAAAAGAGTGAGTTAAAATCATTAAAGTGAAGATTTGGACTTGCAAGTTAAAATCTCTTCCACAAGCATTACATGACATACTTATATACATTATGATCGACTTCTCTGAAGCATTCAAATGGAGATACTGCCAAAAGATAGCTATGTATTTTGGGACAGCAGTTTCTATTTTATTAAACAATACTTTCAGCCACTTAAGAATTCAATTTGTTCCTTCTTAAATTCTTAACTAAGAACTTGCAGAATATGATAGGAAAAACCACCAACTGTTATAGCAGGATAAATAGAAATGGAAAGAATTTCAGACTTAAAGGAATGCAAGGAACTCTCTACATAAAAACTAAGAACTGAACCGTTCTTAGAAAGGCTGAGAGGTGAAGGGGAAGTCAATAATCACAAGCAAGGGTCACCAGACTGGCCATCAGAGAGGAAAAAAGGAAAAGACAAAGCAGGTACATAACCATATATAATTTCAGAAGTAGTAAGTAACAAAAAAAAAAAATTCTCAGAATGAATTACATGAAAATATCACTAAAAGAAAGCAATAGAGAACAGACTTCTTTTTAAGCATACATTTTTTCAATAATGCTTTGCAATGAACAAAATTGAGGAGACTGCAACTTGTGCACACTTTATGGTGGGAAAGGAACATAGTAATTGGGGAAAATTCCTACCTTCAGAAACCAAGGAACTAAATAGAATTCAAATACCCACGGTATCAGGGACACTGCAATAAGGTTTACAGCAGAGATGCCCACCGATTATCAAGAAGAATGCGTTTGTAGATATCAATAGCTTCTTGGTAGTGGGACCGCATGTAGTGGATAGATGCCAAGCTAAGCTGATCTTCTGTAATGTCTTGCAGATTTTGGTGAGAGCTCATCAGTTTCTTCTCATCACTGAACTAAAAAGAGTGTGACACATTCTCAGAAGAGTTCATCGAGAAAAACGTTTTAATTAGCTGGATTAGTTTTGTCCTTGCTGGCAAGCAGTAGGTGATTCATATTAAACATCTGGAAAAACTCTGTTACTTTAAAATTAATCTGACCAGTGGAGAAAGACAAACATTAAAGAGGCAGACCAGTTGAAACTAGATACATGCAAGGCTAAAACTAAGTACACATTTTCCTTTAAGGTGTGATTTAGACATAATTACATGTCACATGCCTTGACGGATAAGAGGGGAAGAGCTGAATTAATTATTTCACAAACAGAATTTTGCAACACAAGATTTGACTTATTATTTGAGCCAGCAGAAATTTTCCTGTTTGTAGATCCAAATCTTATTTCTCCTGGATAGCAGAAAAATTCAAGACTTGCCAACATACAAGCATAATTTTCACAAGACTTCCTTACAGCACTAACAAATCCTCTTTCATCATCCCCTTAAAATTTGTTTCTTTAACTAATTTTTATTTTTAAAAGCATTGCTGTATAGCACATTAACACACACACAAGGATAAAAACAAGCAAGAGAGTTAAACATATACTTTATATTTGTATTACAATTAGTAAAGTTGAGGCTATTCACCTAAGCAGTATACCCAAGTCCCTTATTCCAGTGCTTTGCTGATTCTGATGTTTCAACAGTAATTATGAATTTCTTACACACAAATTCTATCTTATGCATTTGTTTTTCATCTATCTGCTCACATCCTTTTCCTCCCTCTTTGAGCCAGTCACAGAATGATACACCAGTACAAAGGCAAAAGAATTTGCTTAACAGAACTAAAGGCAATGAGCTTTATAGTCTGGTAAAACCCTTTGTTTCCAAAGACTAATTGGATGAACTAGGAATTATTCAACTTTATGACAGACATCTGTAAGTACCAGTGCCACTACAAAAATGTTTTAAGATTTCTCGCTTAAACTTAACAGAGATTTAAGTAAAGAGAATCTGACATCAAAGCTAACATTCAGGAGTTATACTTTCTTTCAACTCAGTCTCTTCAGTAGCACAATACTTATTAAGTATAACACAGGATGGTACAAAACGAAATTTAAGTGAAGATAGCTATGTGTGGTAAGTGAAATAAGCATTTAACTGTTGTTGAAATTAAAGTAAATTTCAAGCTATAAACAATATTACTTCTTCGATACTGAATGGCTTAGGAGGATCAGTAACAGCATATAGACCATTTTGGTCAAATTGCTAAGTATAAGACAACTGCAAGTTAGGAAAACTTGGTACACTTCAAAGAAAAAGAAAAATAGTGCCGTATACATTTCTGATTCTATTCAAGTTACAGGTTCCTCATGATCAAAAATACCATCAGGATCCTGTTGTATGACTTCTATGAAGTGTGTTGGTAAGACTTTCCATACATACATGCTGAGGGCATCTATTCTGAGACCATGTTTTCACACTTACTTTCTTCTCCACATTTTAAGACAGTAAGGTAGTTATGGAAAACGTTTGTTCTCCTGCCACCACAGACATTTTAAGCATAAATTACACATTACCAAACTGAAAAGAAAACAAGAAAGCATGAGTGAAGAAAAGACATCATACCTTATGAGCCAGGTGAAAGAGTAAACGGTTCTGGAGACGACTCCTAGGTGCTGAAAAGGAAAATTAAGTAAGTATTGCTGCAAAGAACAACTCAGTTGTCTCTTTTATATTTTTAACTCTCTCTCAGTAGGCACACATGCACCCATATTCTTTCATTAACTAGCCCAAGTACAGTTCTTCACTGACATAGCCTTTGCAGGTCATGCCCTGGGGCAGGTTCTACCAATTTTAGAGTGGTTTAAAGGCCTTCTTGCTTCCTATCTTCATTCCCTGACCATTTCTTTTGAAATCCCTGTTGAAAATAACTTTTGATTGGCCTATGTCTTCCATGAGCCTTAAAACTTTTATGAATTGCACTATCATTTCCCTGCAGGGCCTTCTGGATAATTCTCTGTTTGTTTGTGACGCACAGCACAGCATCTTTTACAAAATAAAAAGCAGCAACAGATGAACTCATAATCAAGGCTCCTTCTACAATGTGTCACATTTGAATTAAGTTGTGATTCATAATTCTAGGAATCTTGTCAACTTCCAGTGTGTTGCAAAACCCATTGCTGCTACCATTTTGTTATGTATGCACATTATATTATACTTAGTTCTAATATTTCTTCTGTCCTTAGGAACAAAAGGCACATGAAAGAATCCTGCAGTCAGAGCAGATAAGATTAAAATTAAGATATGGTGAGGGATTTAAAGAGAGACATCTCCTTTCTAAAGCCACTAAAGTTCATGAAATTTCTTGGTCTAGCAGGATTAGGAATTCCATTTAACTCACTCAATATGACACAAATTGTTAACTGTAGAGCTTTAAGTCACTAGAGAGAGCCTTGTGCTTCACTGAGTGACAAAGATCCTCGTCCAACAGAGCTATTAATTTCTTTTGCAAGCAATCTTGCAAAAAGCCTTCCCTTGTTTCCTGTATTTTCTTTAGCCTACTCAGTTAATGAGCACACTCATTCTTGCTCAGACCAACCAGCTGGCAATCTATGTTCCACAGAAAGGATGTACATGCAATCTTTACAAAAAGCAGAATTACTTACTGTGTTTATGAGGCCACAAAAGTGCAGAGTTAGCAAAGCAATGGCCTGTAACACAAGGCTATAATTCTTCTGACATCCTAAACCATGAAAGAGGGCTCAAACCACCAAAACCTCTTCCCTCCCCTTGTCCAAGACAGAATTTTCTAGTAATAAGTTAGATTGTTTTTTTTTAGGGAGAGATTTCCAGAATTCTTACTCTTTCTTCACATAGTAAGAAAACTTTGTAACACAGTGGACTATGCCAAAACCCAGGCCATTCTCATCAGGCTAGCAGTGTATGGTTGCCCACCTATTTCCGATAGGTACAGCAATTATTTCTTGTTGAAAATTTCAACAATTTTTATTGAGTTAGGAAGTCAGATACCTTAATTTAAATGCACATTCTTCAAAATGTTGTCAGCAATGATATTGTGGTAACTCCACATGTGCCCCAGCATTAATTGATAGGTTTTAATATCAAAGTTTAGAAGAGCTGCACATGGACCCCACATGTGGTTTTGTGCAAAACTTCAACCAACCACAACCACCCTTCACAATTCAAAACATTTGATCATCAAAGACTCCAAAAATACAAGCAGGACAGATTGTGCGATTTACACTGAAAATAACATATTGTATAATCACAGCACTATGGGTAAAGACAGCAATGTTCCTTTTTTTAGTACGTTTTGGTTGGGTTTTTTTGAGTGGATTTTAGCATTAATTTCACTGTGAAAATTGTGACTTGCAAGCAATACTCCCTCAAGAATCTGAACTGAGGAATTCTTGTTTGACTGGTCAACCAATGACTGCAGTGCTGCCCTCACAAACCTGGCATCTGATCTGAAATCAACATTGTTACTTACTTCTTGGCAAAAGCTGCAGGGTTAGTCCGTGTTATTTTACACCTAAAAACAGGCAAAAGATGAAACCTGAGTTCTGATGGTGTGCATGGTATATGGAGGGAGAGAAAACATCCTGCTTCATAAGATATTATATGATACCATCCATCTGATATTCTTTAAAATAAGACACTTTTACTTAATGCCAGCCAGAGGAGGAGAAGGGCAAAACCCCCAAAAATATAGTCCTGTCAATATAGTAAGCAGAACCACGGAAACATTCGATATCAGCAGTTTCTTTTCTCCCAGTGCCAAATGCATTTTTTGAGGAAGACAAGGAAATGTATGAATAAGGTCAGTTTCCAGAAATAACTTGGTTATGAATATCGGATAAAGCTGTTGTCATTCACTGGAGCAGGAAGTGATACAACTGCCTCATCAGAGATAATGATTTTTAAGGGATGTTAGGCTTGTTCTTTTATTACTCTCTGCTGCTATCGAATTTCATTGTCACTTATCTGTTAATGCCACAAGGAAGCACAATCTTCTTTCCCTGTCCTACTTTTTCAAGACAACAACTGTACTTTTTTTTTTATTTTTTAAATCAGTACTAAGCAATCTAGGGATAACGAATATGATGACAATGCTGCACGGCAACAAAATAGACACTGGTCCAGGTGTGGTATTTGCCTTGTGCTGAAGATATCACTGAGGCAGCTGGATAGGATATATCTCTTTCCATCTAGAAAACACACTGATATTCCTACATTAGAACTTTTGTCATAATCAGTGCTGATGTTCCAGGCACTGAAGTCAGAGTTGACGCTGCTCTTAAAAGTGTTCTGTATATTTTTATGTGCTGACACTGAACAGGCACTTAGCAAAGTATTTCTTAAAATATAATAAATAGCTACCAAAAGAGTGAAGATAGTTATCTATCTCCACTAATTATTAAACAAAAAGTTAAGCTCACTAGAAATGGCAGCTCAGGCTCTTGGTGGCTTTCATATTGCTGCCACAAGACAGTAAGAAGATGATCAAATACAGTCATGGACAATCTGGCATTTATGCCCTCTCGTAAGAGTACGAGGCAATGTTGGTTATGCATCCAGCATTAACAAATCCCATCGAGCAGACATAATGCATACACTATAGCAGCACTTCACACATTTAAACATACATAGCAGGAGCTGGTAGGAATGGAACAGTGCTGAAAAGGCTCCAGCCTGACAGCACAGAAAATATGACCAGAGGAAAACCTTATTCTTCTGTCCCTGAGAAACAATGCCCTGTTCACCTGAGTACAGTAGCTGAATGGAGCCCTCTGTGCCTCAGAACCACAGTCTCACTGGTGGAGGGAAAATGCAAGGGTATGAGAAAAACATTTGGAAAAAACAATGTCCAAGAGCGAGGTTCACACTTACATACACTTTCATAGCTCAACTGTTCAGAATTTTCTTGAATGAAATTTACAGAGGACATTTATTGAAATTTTCCCATTCCCAAAATACTTAAAAGACAGTTCAACTATGTTCTTTGCAACATATACACACTTCATTTTAGTCATGCCTAGGCAAAGTTTAAGATCACTGAAGCAAAACACTATCAATTAGTCCAGTTCTGTAGCTTCCGCTATACTTTAAAAAGCAAACCAAGAAAATAAGGTTAGTAGTTTTAAAAGTTTAAATATGTATAAATTGATATTTTCACTTGTGCACTTTGAAAGTTATGTATATCAAACTCTGCTGGTTCAAAACCATAGCTAAAATGCAATGAAAATTAACTATTGTTCTCAAGAAATACAGTACAAGCAGAGAGCAGATAATTTTGCATGTAGGTGAACGTGCAGTCTAAAGAAAAAGAAAACCTAGCAACTTTTCCACACCTGCTTATAACTGCACATTTTCACTGGTGACAACCATCCGACACCTGGCAAACATTAGTACATGTGTAACCAAAGTGGTAGGGAATTAAAATAAAATAGGGTTGGAAAATAGGTTTGTGAATTTGTAGCAAGTTGTAACTATAGAAACATGTCATGCACCAACAATGCTGTCCAGAAGTCCACTCAATCCTTTCCATCTTGATTTAAGTATCAAGGGTTTAAACAATGATGTAGAAGTGTAATTTGAAATTTTCTTGTCTTGAAACAAAGACTTTGGAATGAATAATTACTTATTGTGCCAACGGCCCGTAAAGGTCTATTTAGTGTTGCCAAGTTTAAATGAACTTAGAGGGAAAGGTAATTCTGGCAGGGGGAGATCACAACCACCAAATCAGAGACCACCCACCCACTCAAGGAACCCTCCGACCCAAAAGATCAAGGAAGTAAATTCTTAGAAAGTTACAGTGAGCATGCGCAGTCATTTACATGTTAGGCGAAGAATTTTTAACCAATCATTGTATAGAGGATAATGAGTATGTATTTGTGTATCTATAAAAGAATGTTTCTTAGACTGATTGAACGAACACGATTTGGGAAAACTATTCCCCGTGTTCCTGGCGCTGTGAATAAAGAATGCCTGCCTTTTAACACTACATTGGTGTTACGAGGTTTATTCCCGATTTCGGTGACACATGCATAAGCAAAACTAGTTTGGAAAATGTCATTGTTCTTACTAACCCATCGCTGTTCTGTTTTTGTACAACATTGCTTCTTCCAGTATAGGCTGTAAAATGAGAAGTATCTCTGTTCAGTTAAATCACATTCAGATCTGACACATGCAGAGTTGTGAAGGACTAAAGTAATTACAAAGCTTTGCCCATGAAAAATTAGAAGGGAGGAAAAACAAAAAAAAGAACTTTAATGACTGGTTCAGCAACACAACCCTGTCTGTGCATGAATCTTAAATTTAATTGTAAAATTCCTTTTATCCTAAAAGACTGTTTTTCATAACATTGAACTGCAGCCCCACTTATGTGCCCATTTTGTGGTTTAAAAGAACACTGTTAGTTTTTGTGTGCTAGCCAACGGCTTCTGAGAGCACTATGTAGGCTTCTAAACACTAGGATCAGTTGCCAGGATCGCTGTGCAAATGTGCCAGGCTGTTTCTGGTCCTTGTCCTTTGCAAGGCATAGGAACTGAGAATGCAACATAAGACTATTTGTTTTAATAATTTTAAAATAGTATCATATCATTATTACTATTTATTAAACAAAGATGAAGACTTTTAGCCTCATTCTCCCAAGACTAGATGGGCTAGCACACTGCATGGAAAACCTATGTTCAGCCAATGTATGAGAGCACAGATGCAAAAGGAGTAAACAAAGCATCTTGGCAGCTTCACTATGGGATGACTATGAAACAACAGTAGCTGACTTGAAGTAACTCTATCTTCACCCCAGATCCAGGAACATTAGTAACTGTAATGTAAGGGAACAGCAGGGAAAAAGGGGAAGCCAGAAATGTCTGAAAGGAATTTGGAAGAAAGCCTAGAGGAGATAAAGTGCAACTGTAATGAAAAACCTTCAAATAAGGATTTTTCTTTATTGCCTTTTTGCTCTACTTCTTAAGTTATATTTGCAGTAATTCTGGTTTATATCACTTTTGATATACAGATTTATTCTTTCCTGAGAGTGTGTACCATGAATTTTTAATTAAGTAATGACAAGCTAAAAGAACACTTCACACCTATTATAAAATAAACATAAAACGTTGCTCCACAAGAGATTGTGGACTATATATCTTGTATGAAATGCAATGATTATCTCATGGCTTTTAATGCTAATTTCCTAATTTTTAAGTATCCTGCGTATTTTTCCTCAGTTAACAATAATTTTCTTAAGCAACAGTACATGGCAAGAAGGAACTTCTATTTGATTTCTAGATATTTACGTATTTGTATGGAAAATCTATTCCAGAAACCCAGATGACATTTATGTTCCCTTTCACACAGGGATTGCCTCACTGTAGAAATTTAGAATTATAGTGAAAATAAGTTATTCCTCCCTCATTTGTTTTAGCACTATGCTACTTTCAGGGGCTTAGCGTAACCGCAGCAATAAACAGTGAGCACTCTGCAAGAATTCTGGCAAAATAAACCCAAAATAGCAACGGTAAGCAGCCCAACACTAACACTATCTATAATTTTTTCAGCAGTATTCACGGCTATACTGGATAAATGGTGTTCTTTCAGAGACTTCACCTGTTGTGTCTATATCCAGTGAAGTATTTTGCATCTTCAGGATCTTTGCAAAACCATGGAAGAGAACACAAGATGTTATGGCTTCAGCTGTCAATAATATATTGCAAACAGCCGTAACTGATGCAATCCTAAGATGTTAAAAAAACTAAAAGAGGATCTCCCTTGAGCAAAAATAAAATGATCCAACCTCAATGTAAGAAAGACTGAAGTGATGGGAGCGGAAAGGGGAATATACAACACTTGGAAGCCTTCAACAGAAAAAGGGCAAGCGTTACAAATCTTCATCTGTGACTTCCTCCCCACCAAGCTTAAGTAGCCAGAAATCATCGGTATTACAGTACTCACAAGAAAGGTTTAGCACCTCATTATAAAAGCTGGCATGCTGTCCTTCTTAAACAAGTACATAAAATCAGGAACTGGTATTACTAGCGTGAGAACTCAGTTATTCTCCGTTCCCTCCCTCAGCTACACTGCCTATGTCTTGCACTTCTTTCTTAATATTCCTGCCCTTGCCTCCAGCACCCAAGTACCACTAACTGCACCCCCTACCCTGCCACTCACCATGCTACTATGAACTAATCTGAAGGGGCATGAAAAAATTAACCTTCTCTCACTTCCAGATCACAGTTAGTAAAGGTGCATGCCCAGCTGTGAATCATCTCTAGAATGGATTACTGTAATTTGCATGATGTGAAGCTAATGACAATGACTCCAACTGGTACAGGATGCAGCCGCTTGCTTCCCCCATGGCTTAGGTCACAGTGACACCTCAAGCTCTATTGCCCAATTATTTTTAGATTCCAGTTCAAGTCCTAGGTAGTAATCTCCAAAGCTCAAATTTGTGGTACGTTAAAGATTAAATTATTATCTGTGAATATTAGAAATTTACACACCTCTTGAACAATACAGATCACAAAGCTCTGCATGAAATTTTTTACAGTTGGAAACAAAACATTTCCAGTTGTAGGATTCAAGCTCAGCATGATCTTTCAGAGGATTTTGAAGGGATATGAGAATCTAATTATTAAAAAAAAAAACTGCAATACTGTTCTTTTGAAGGCATTCCTCCACAGTAGCAGAACGTACACAATTATTTTCTTCCTGCTCTATTTTCAGCCCAAGACTAGAAGATTAAAGAAAGAAAAGAGAAAACCCATACTTCAATAAGAGTTTTATCCTAAAAAGGCAAGAGTCAGAAATTGACTGAGAACATCACTATTACTAATTTTACTTAGAAAGCACTGAGATACTATGGTTATGGGAAACAATGTATTTCACTAAGATAAATAGAAAGTGATGGGTAACAAAATTAAACTGCAGAAACATTTTTAGGCAGTAAAAATTGCCTTGGAATTTAATTCCCATTCCTCTTCTTTAAATGGTCCCACGCATGTTCAGATTAAAGTAAAACTGTATTGACTGCAGTGAACTCCATGCCTTGAAGAATCAGATACCTAGTGTCTGACTTACAAGGCAACAAGACCACATACTAAGTCACTCAAACTATCTAAACAAGACTTCTTGTCCACATCAGGGAGAATGCTGAACTCTCTCAGATGCTTATTTTTTGATAATTTCACTAGCCTAATTAGCTTCATCTGCACTGGCTCAGGGACATGGAATCAGTCAAAAGAAAAGTAACTTTTTGTTGCTGGTCAGCAAGTGCTGGGTTTTGTATTTAGAAATTAATAAGAGAAATTATTTTCCAGATGCTCCTTTCGGTTCTAGATGCTCCACCTGCCCAAGGTATTTATAGGAAGCAAATTGTATCATCAAAGAACGCAAACCCGAAAAACTTTGCTCAAAAGTATCCTTTATTCCTATTAAAAAAAAGCACTGAATAGTGTCTCTGGAAACCACTTTAAGTGTTCAAGTGAACAAATAGTCCCTTCCATCACAGTCATATATCTCACCTTTCAAGGCTGCTTGTTCAGCTTGTGTATACATTCCCAGAAAGAAGTATGTACAGGCAAGATTCACCCAAACATCTGGATTGCAAGCTGGCTGTTTGGTTAAAGCCTCATATTCCTGTAACAGAAGAGAGGGTTGATTTTTTAAAGACGCGTAACAGCACAGACTTGCATTAAATATCATTCTTTCTTCCACCATTTTAATGATACGTTGTAAAGTATTGAGATCGCACGACTTATTCTCAAGTTCACTGAAGTTCTTACAACTAAACTATTACATTTTAACCTAAGATATATGCCTAGCTCTGTTTTGTTTACAGCACAGAACCGACAACAGGTCCAAGCAGTGCTACAAATCTTCACTGTAGCAGCATGAATTCTGTCAATATTGAAGTTATAAATATAAAAAATTGTATTATTATATGTTCATATATTATTATAAATGTTTTATTATTTATATTTTTAAAATATTAATTTATTAAAGTTATAAAGTCATCAACATAACCAACTTTTCCTCAGTCTTTTCGGATGCTTTCCTAACTTTTCCTCCAATCAAAGCCTGGGAGCCATAAACACCAGAGAAATCTCATAAACCTGTAGATAGTGTCTTAGTATAGATTAAAACAATGGCCTCCAAAGTGGAGTGTGCGCACCCCAGCGGTTTTGCAAGACAATACCATCAGGTGCAGGAAGACAATCTTTTTTATACCGTTAATAACTAAAATAAATATTTTTAAAACACTGTTTATTTCATCTGTATCACATCGTTTTTAATTTATATTTTTGTGTATGTTTTATAATTACATAATATATTAGTACATGTCTATAATTTATAAACATATACACATGTATATATGTATATTGGGGGTGCATGCTCAAAAATTTCTTACTGATAGGAATGCATGATCAAAATTGTTTGGAGACCACTGAATTAAAATACAAGCTTACAAGTTGGTATTGGGCAAATTCAGGATTTCCTAATAGATAAAAGATATAATTATAGTAAATACTACTAAACTGTGCCTAACTTCACCATTTCCCATTTTAAGATTTACACCCAACAGCTATAGAAAAACACTAGATACCATATTCTGATATTTCTTAAACATCCACATTCATTACATATCCCTTAATAATGCCACATAAACTGCTCCATTTCTTGTTATTCATGAAACAGTAAAAACTTAACAGATCAATCTTTCGATCTACCTTTTGTTATGAAAAAAACCTTTGCAGCTACTGAACAGTGATATTCCTGAAGATAAACATCTTTGCATAACAATAGGTACTAAAAACAGAGGCAGGGAAACCTCTCCATGCCATTTTCCCCCCTCCTCTGTCAGGTTGCTGTTAAATTACTAGGAAGGAGCAACCAAGTGAAAGTGCCTCCTGCTAGTGCTCCCGCTCTCCATCCAGCCATGTCCAACAGGCAGCATAAGGCAAAGCAAGGTTCTCACAAGACCTGCTGAAAGAATGCCATCCACATACTCCCAATCACCATAAGCCTCTCATCCCTCCTCCCTTCAACACAACCCCTTGCTGACTCTGTACTCTTCCCCCAAACATATGAACTGGGATTTCCCTCTGCCTAGGGAGAGTTTACAATATTGTGCCACTATGGGTGGAAGACTTCTTACCTCTGGGGGAAAGGCACAAATGTATGTATAGCACTAGATAAAATAAGCCATGCCCAAAGGACAGGGAGTCCCAAGAACAGAAACATGCTGACAACAATAAAGTTTATAGTTTGCAAGCATAAATAATTTTTTTTTTCTGTTGCAAAGTGAAAGTAAACTGCACTCCCAAACAGAGAAGATATTGGTAAGGTATGCCCTTAAAGACCAGCTCAATCTTGCTAGTACTTCAGAGACTAGCTGTCCTTCAAGAAGATTTAAAATAAATAAAAAAAAAAAAAGAAAAAAAAAAGAAAACATTTACACAGAGGCCAACCTTTCCTACTAAGGCCAGTTCAATCTTGACGTAGGCCTGTCATGAAGCTCTGAGAGACAGGCCACTGTTGTTTATTGGGACCATCTGGAATCTTTCAAAATCTGTTCAGATTAAATGCACCCAAAGGTCTCTTTCAGCTATGGCTTCAGGCAGATTAATTAGAAAAGACAAAGTGCATAAACACAAGTCATGTTCTGGCTTGGTCATTCAAAGCAAGCAATAAATAAAGAGTGCTCTAGCAGTACCAGTGTGAATCTATGGAAACACAGTAAATAAAACAAGGACTACTAGTGCTCCTTACCCTGTAGTTCTGGGCCATGAGCCCAGACTATGTGCCGTTGCCCCTTTCCTCACTAAAAGGCATTCAACATCAGTCTCTCAAAGACTGCTTCACAAGACCTTTCCGCACTCATCTCCAAAAAACCAACAAAAACAAACAATATAAATATTTCAAAAGCTTTCCCAACAGCCAGCCTGTGGCATATTTTTGCCAACCAGGAGCATAACAACTTCTGCTATTTCACCCTTGCCACCTCTCATCCCCATCACAAGACACATGCACTTTTCCTTAAAAGCAGGCTGCCAGGTTGATTGCCTACAACCATGGACACCTACTGACAATGCTGAGGCCAGCAGGATTGTGCTCCACACCCTTATTACTTGCCTGGATTCTCCAAGCCCATAAACACATATCCTGAAGAGCCAATAAACAGGACAACGTATAGGGCTGTCCCACAAGTGTGCAAAGGAGGTGTGGAGATACTCATCGTAACCTGGCTACAGTCACGACAGAGAAGCCTATTAATTAAGAAGCTTCAGCTGTCAGGATCTTGAGTTGTACCTGTATTCTCACACTTCCAGCAAGAAGTACTCAAGCAAGACGAGATACTGCTCATGGATGCACCATTACCCTAGTATAGTCCCGTTCCTTTCATGATTTACTATTTGACTGAAACTATCCTGAGCAAAGCCAGTGTAGGCAGAAGGCCCCATCCAGTAAAGAGGTGGAATGCTTCCTGATTTTCTGCTAAGAGGGAGGCAGCATATAGGAGAGACTGTGGGAATTGCTGGCTGTAGTTTGTGAGATTTTGACAGAGACAATGCATTGAAGGCTATGGCCTGGGGATCACGCTTTGCTTTCACATGTGCAGCTGAGGGGACAGAATGGCATTACCATGTCTGGCAGCTGTACCATGCCAGCATCCTGTGTGCCTAAGCCCAGTCAGAAGGTACAGAGTGCAAATGTGAAACCTGTTCTTGAACCCAGCCTAGCAGCCAACCCAACCTGCCCTTGCCAATTCCTCTCTTAAATTGTCAATACCTCAAACATGTCTTATAAGTCTCCCTTTCATAGGCCCCGCTGCTTTGATTTATAAGGTCAGGCAGCTCAGAAACAAAATCATTGGACTGATGCCCTGCTTCTGGGTCTTAGGTGACACTGGGAAATTTTTCGCAAGTGCTATGAAAAAGTCATGGCAGAAAGACAAGTGGGTTTTTCCCCTTTAGGGATAGTAGATGTGGAAGACTCCAGAAAACTAATTAGATCAGTTTTCTAATCCACTAGGGAAGTTCTAGTTGCCATATGATGCCAGGAGGACATGAGCCCCTCAGTGTTGGCAAAAATCAACTTGCCAATGAAGGAAGCTAGACAGTCCCCAGGGAGGGACTGCCACCATGACTGCTGGAAGAGTGGAGTCTAGTGCCGTATCATTTGTAAGTTGGTGTACAGCAGTAGGGATGATCCCACCAGACCAGGGCTGGTAGCATATCCTTTGACAATGTCATCTACTTACTAAGAAGGGGAAAGTGTGACCCTAGTGAAGTTGAGGTTAGCGCTCTATGCAGAGAATACCTGACGGTGTGCCTGTGATAACAGAATGTGAATTCTCTCACGCGAATGTGACAGATATTTTGATGTCATTCCCTTTAAAGATATCCTTGGAGCTGGAGGTCTGTGTGTTTTTAATTTTTTCCCTGTTTGTCCCAGTAGTGGATGATGGTCACCTCACCCCAATTCCCAAGCCTCTCTAAAAGTTGCCATGCAACCAGCACACCTGGCTTACTATGAAAGTATCGTTATAAGTAAAAGGATTATTGAGCTGGATAATTTCTGAAGAACTTCATCAGGTATATGGAATACAAACCATGAACTGGGAATATAGTGACACAGACTATGCGTTGTCACTTGCAGGCACTTAAGAGTGGGAATCATTTAGGTAGTGTGTAATGTCACTCTGGAGAATTCTGCAGAATCTTCTACCCATAGTATTTTATTGACAGTGTTAGAGTGCTCCAAGATCTAGAGGGTATAGATAATCAAGGAATTTGTTCTGGAGAATATAGCAACAATACTTCTGTAACACAGCAGAGAAGAAACAGCATTACACTTCAACCCTGAAGCTGACCACTGAAAGGCAACTCAGCCTCCACAGTCAGCACTTGGGAATTAAAACTATGGTGTTCTGTCCCAAAAGAAAGTGGCTTGAGATGCACAGGCTCATTTCTCACACGCCACCACAAAATGACAAAGTTATCAGGGCTTATCACTGTGCCAAAACTCAGTCTTAAATCTGAAAAGATAGGCCCTGTGATTTGTCTGAAACACACACAAACAAACCAACCACAAACCATGCTTACAAACATTTATTGTCCCTACTTGGGCAGAAAAACGGGAAAAAGACGACTATGTTGCAGTTTTTAAAAGCCTGAATCAACAGCATCACCTAGTGGTGCATCAAACACCACATACAAAACCTAATTCAAAAAAACCAAAAGCTGTTACTCTTTCGTTGAAGGAAACATTTAAAATCTACTCTGGGTATTACAAATAGCAGATTTCAAGGAAATTGCAAGCCATTTTTCATTTGTATAAAAACATTTTTCTTTTTTTAATCTTTCACTCCCTATTAACACCTAACATCTAGATATAAATTAACTACAGCAGCTGATTGTAACATTCATAATCTTTAAATTCCACAACTCTAAACATGAATAGCAAGTTACTGCTATGCCCTATACTACTATTCTACATTCTATACTGTGTATACTATCAATTTGATTCACTGAGCATTTCTAACATCTCAAATGATATTTCCTCTTCAATTTTTTAAGGAGGAAAGTGCCTTGTGAACTTACTCAGAAGCTTTAGAAATTCTATTTCCACCTGGTGTTTGAATCTTGTGCACGTGGACATGTATTATTATTGTTAAACACCTAATTTTATCTAAGAGAAAATATCATCATTGTTCTATTATCTATTTCTCTATGGTTATTTTCTTTTGTTAATACTTCAAATTATAATCTGTTTTTAATACCTCTTCCAAAGAAAGCAAGTTAAAAGACTGCAAAACCAGCTATACTTCACAGTTATGCTTCAAAGTGAATTGTGATGGAGATCTCCCCCAGCTGACATTGACTGAAACCAACAATCCTTAAATGGTGCAATACAGCATTTTACAGACCCAGCAATTCACATCTGTAGGAATACATCAACAAGACAAACGATACTCAGGCAGACTGAGTTGCTTTCAAGTCTTCACAAGCTTATATGCAGCCTTGTGGGTATCACCACACCATTCCACACTACTCCCTGTTCTGGTGTGCACACCGATTCCAGCCCTTGGAGATACAGAGCAAGGCAGACAACAAAAATTTTTTAGGACTTGACTTTTTACTTTACTTTTCTCTACAGAGAAATACGCTAGCACAGCTGAGAAGATAAAGGGATCCCAGGGACACTGGCAACAAATTGATTGGCAACAAATTGGTTTCATCAGAGACATAAATGGACACAAGAGAAAGAATTGCATGTGGACTCATACACCTAGAGAGACACAACAGCGCTGTATGGTGCAAGTATTAAAAATGTATGCATATTTGAATAATCAACATGTTTTTTAGTGACTTAAAGCTTTTGGAGAATAAGAATGTCTCATTTAATTCAATTACCTAATACAAGAAAACATAAAGAAGAACAATAAAGTACATTAAATGGCCAGGGGCATCAACTTCTAAAGAAAGAATTAGAAACGCATGCATATTACAGATCAGCTACACAATGAAGACAAAGACATAGTTAAACCTGAAAAACAAAACTGTGGAAAGCTAGCTGCAAAAAGGGAATGGAAAATTCAGGACATGAATGATGGCATTTAAAAGGGCAAACTAGGCTACTGAGCCTAATTAAATCAGACAGTAGATAACGTTAAAAAAGGTCTATTTTCATAGCAAACCCATTTTTTTTTGCAATGCAAACTGCTTTCCATAGCATCTGCCTTATTACTGTACATTTGTACCTTAACTGGCTGGCAGAACTGTTCCCTGTCACAGAAGGTGTTCATCTTGTTGATATTGCTTTATCACAACATCCCAATTTCCAACCTTGTTGAGTAGGACTTCCCCACCTTACCTCCAGTGCTCTCTTGTAGTCACCCAGATGAAAGGCAGCATATCCGATCCAAAGGTCAGCATCTTCCTCCTGCTCACCCACGTGCCGTTTAAACTTGTAGAGAAGAAAGTATGTAAGAATTCTGTCAGCTGCCACACAGTTTATGAAGCTGCACAGATAATCAAGTAATACTAGGCCGTCTTGTATCACGGATGGTTTGACAGCTGTGGAATGCTACTGGAGTGGAGCTGCCCTCACATTTCTGAGGGAAGCAGCAGGCAACCCTCACCTGCCAAACCTAGTTCTGCGAAGT